TGCTGCTCAGGATGCTCAGGTATGTGGGCAGAGCCTGAATGGGCGCAGGGCTGAACACCAAAGACTGGAATGAAAAAAAGAAAATGGGGTAACGACACAGGTGAAACGCCACGAGAGATCTGATCCTCTGCTGAATCATGCGGTAAGTCTAAAGCATTCTCTTTGGCATAGAGTACCAGGAAATCATTTCTAGAAAGGAAGGTAAAGGTATGCGTATTAACTTTGCTTCACAGTAGTCAGTAGATTCTGACAGGTCATCATTTTGTTTCTGGCATGTAGGGTTGCCAACCTCCAGGTGGGGTCTGGAGATCTCCCAGAATTAGAACTGATGTCCAGATTACATAGATCAGATGAGCCTATTTCCAAATCAGACTCCATAACACTAGGGTAAGTGTGCGTCCCTCAATTACGTACACAGAAAAACTCCCTCTGCATCAGAGGAAAAATGCAATAATCTAGAAGGCCTCGGGCTTTTAAAAAAAAAAATCAGCAATTTTGCGACTTTGGGAAAACCTGTTTCTTTTGGGGGTCAATTATTCAGGTATGTAGGCATTTTTTCCAAGATTACTGAAAAGCAAGACATTTGTTCTTACCTCAGCACTAAGGACCAAATTATTTACTGTGACTGACAGGCAGCTGTTTCGAGCAATGACCCAGGTACGGTCACACCTGTAAGTGATATTTCCTCGGACGCTGCTGGCATTCCCCAGACAAGGCTTTACGACCTCTGCTCTAGTCTCTCCAACGCCAATGTCCGAGGAGTTACACATGATGGTCTTTTCTGCGGGAGAAAAGAGAAAAAGTAAATCTCATCTGTCGGAAGATGCTCCCTTCTTTTTTTCCTCATGGAACACTTGTGCTTTGAACTTTTAACAGTTGCCTGGCACACAGAAATTTAGCAGGTGAACATAAGAACATAAGAAGCACCTAAGGCTCGGCCGGGGGGGAGGGCAGGGAAACTCCTGCTCGATGGTCCCGTTACCTGCCGGCCCGGATCGGGCTGCCGGGGGGAACCCCACTCCCAAAATGCCGGGAACCTGGAGGTGACATCATCACGCCGGGCACGTTGTGGGGGGACGCTCTATGATTCGAGGGAAAACTCTATGGTTTCCCCTCAAATCATAGTGGTCCCTCGAATCATAGTGGTCCCGCTCCCAATGTGACTGATGCGATGACGTCACTTCCGGGCCGAAAAGCTCCAGGATGGGCCTGGGACTCCCCGGCTACACCACACTGGCAAAAGTGAGGTGAGTCAGTTCAACAGACATGACGAATGTGGCCAACCATTCCAGACCATTAAATCCAGAGGGGAATCAGCTCAACCAGATGTACATGCTTTGCTTTCAGTTTTGCCCGAGCAATATCAGGTACACATGAACACATAAACCTGCGTTATACTGAACCAGACCCCTTGGTCCATCAAGGTCAGTATTGCCTCCTCAAACCGGAAGCAGCTCTCCAGGGTTGCAAGCAGAGGCCTTTTCCCCATCACTTACTGCCTGGTCCTTTTAACTGGAGATGCTGGGGATCGAACCTGGAACCTTCTGCGTACCAAACAGATGCCCCACCACTGAGCCACGGCCCCTTCCCAATGACATGCGCAAATCTTTCAAGATGTGACATGGACAAAACAAGGATTTTAAGAAGGGGCCTTAAAGAGATATTCCTCTCGGCCTATGGTTGAGGACAGACAAGAGATGTCCCACCAGGCCTATGGGTGAGGACAGCAATGGTCTCCATCTAGCCTGGCTTCTTCCTTCCTTCTCCCCCCATGGAGCAAGGACACAAATTGGTATACCTTTCATGTGCCATCTGTAAACCGTTACAGAATTGCTTAGGGTGTTTCAATCGTTTTCAACTTGACTGCGAATGTCTATTTGGAAGTGTTGTTCTCTGCTCTGAGCCCTGTTGTGCAGGGGAGGGGAGGGCTACAGATCGAGTGAAATAAATAATAAAGGCGTTGTGAATGCTTGTGAGATGTGATGTATGTGATTTGATTTTTTGGCTGTATCATTATGTAGGCTGACTCTGCACCCATCTGTTTCCTCGCTGTTCCCCCACCCTTATTTTCCCCTCTGTATTTATCACCTCACCATGAATTACTTGGCTCAAGTGGCTAATGACCACTGAGGCAAGTACTGACACAGGAAAAACTGCATACCAAACTCAGGAGCAAGCGTTGAAAACACTGCGGGACCTTATGCAGTTCTGCAGGGCCTGTAAGACGGAGCTCTTCCGCCAGGCTTTCACATAGGGGTCACCACTACCACCGCCACCAATGAGGTGGACAACATCAGGGTTAAGATGACCCAGGAAGATCTGCCATAATTTCTGCGTGGTTACTGGATTTACCTGGTTGAGCTATAGAATAACATCACCCTGGAGAACCATCCGGAGACCATCTTGTTAAGTTGAGTAAAAAAAATTATTAATTGTCATTAATGTTTTATTGTTTTGATCTGTTTTATATGGGTTTCCCCTTGTAAGCCGCCCTGAGCCCGCTTTGCGGGGAGGGCGGGGTATAAATCTTAACAAATAAAATAAATAAATAAAAATAAAATAAATGGCAAGCTGACACTAGCCAATACGGAGACCAGGATCCGAGGCAATGCAATGAAAACAAATATTCCGAGGCAAGGGGGAACCAGGTTGAGTGCTGATAGTGTGGAGTGAATGCTAGATGCAGAATGGACCATAGCTTCTTGGGAATTGGGAATTCAAGACACAATCTAGATCAGATGAAGAATCTAAATGTGGACGACTGCTTTTGCTTGGAATTGTTTAGTTTCACGTGACTAAGGAGTCGATGTCTCCTCGTGTTCTGTTAGCAGAGCAGAAGCGGGGAGAGGTGGCCCCCTCCCACATCCTCCCCCCTCCCCACACAATGAGCCCTGCCTTTGAGGACACTGAAGGAAGACCCAGCATGAGCAAAATGGTCAGCTGTTGACCCACTGCTCCCTCCTCAACTTTAGTGGCACGTACCAAGAATAAACACTAAGCAGCTAGTGGGAAATGCCCACATTGGTTATCGTGCCAGCAAACACTTCGCATAATATGCAACCACAGCCCAATTTAAATCTGATACCGATGGGCCAGAGCACCCTTACCCTCCTGTGGGTCTCATCGAAACTGGGCTGCAACCCATGTGTCACGGAGATGAAGAATGTGGGCCCTTATCCAGTGGGGCAGTTAGCTATTGTCCGGAGATTATGCTGAAATCCTAAAAATGTGGAGAATCAAACTGATCGAGAGCTTCTTCTCAGAAGGGGCTCCTTGCCTGTGACCTGCTTATTTCAGGGTAAGAAACTTTTATGGATCCATGCAATTGCTCCCCTTTAATGATCTAAGCAGCAATGATGGATGGTCATCAATGTTCAGAATGTAATACTTATGCTTTGATAAAAGCTTAAAACAGAAGCAGAGATTCTCTAATACACGTGTCCCCAACATGATGGGCATTGGCACCTTCCCTTGTGCCCGCCAAGTGGTTTTAGAAAGCGAGCAGGGCCAAGTGGGGCTTTTGACCAGCAAGGCTTCCGATTGGCTGTTGGAGATTTGATTGGTTGGGCAATGGATCTTCATTGTGTGACTGAAGGTAAGCTTCAGAAGCCATTATGTGGCAGGCGCCACCTCCTGAAGCAGCCATTTTGTGGCTGGCTCCGCCTAATGAAGCAGCCATTTTGTGGCTGCACCCACCATGCCACATCAGTATTCCAAAGGTGCTTGCAAGCTCAAAAAAGGTTGGGGACCCCTGCTCTAACACTATTGTATACTATACCCCTAATGAGCCTAAAGCATTACTGAGGTGTACCTCTGGCTAGGAGTTTAATTATACATGAAAGATAACTAGAGGCCTAGGGCTTCTGAAGGGCACATCCAGGGCTATTTTTGGGCAGGAACGCACAGGAATGGAGTTCCGGCTGGCTCCTCAGTTGGCCACGCCCAGCAGGAACTCATTAGCATAATAGGCTACACCCAAGAGCAGAAACTCATTAGGACTGGCTACATTAGGGGTGTGTGGCCTAACATGCAAAGGAGTTCCTGCTACAAAAAAAGGCCCTGGGTTTTGACAACAAACAAGGTAAACAGAATAAGAAGCAAAAGGTGGGTGTATGACCACACTTCTGGTAACATGGGGGTGTGGCCTAATATGCTAATGAGCTGTGCTGTCAGGGTGTGGCCTAATATGCTAATGATTTCTGCTCTTGGGTGTGGCCTATTATGCTAATGATTTCCTGCTGGGCTTTTTCTACAAAAAAGCCCTGGGCACATCTATATCTGAATCGGGCCTCTCCAGAGTCATCTAGAATACATGTGAAACGGCTGCATGGACTTAGCATGCCAGCACAGTGTCCGCAAGGGTTATGGACCTCCGGAGTGCAAACAAAGCATGTGTGGCTGTTTTGCATGAGAGACTGCCCCCAGGCTAAACAAGACCGTAAGCCCAGGAAAATTTGCCTTGCCATCATCACAAGGAGCTCTAATTCTGCCCAGATTTGGAAGGCGGGGAGAAACTGAGATACAGGCAGTCCTGTAAATATCTACGTGACTACCTAGTTTCAATCCCTTACTTACTTGGTGCAAGCGTTAATCTCATAGGAGAGCTCTGAACACGTCCGCCAATTTGGTTCCTGAATTCACAAAAGGCAGAAAACGCCCGTCCAGTGATCCTGCAGCTGTCATATCTGAGTGTTCTTACGTGGCAGTCGAAGTTGCCTTCTTGGCTTTTGACTGCAGAGGAAGAAGTCACACAGAAATAAAGTCAAGAAATGGTCAGCCCAGGTATAAAAAGTTGGGCTTCCCTGAATGGGGATGCGGAGATGCAAAGCCTCCGGGGGAACAGACAAGTTGCATGTAAAAATACTGCTCAGCAATTTGGTTTTCGATTGGCATAAGGCAAAATTGAGGTCACAGTACGAGCGCATGGGTGCCTTTCACATAGTTCTCTGAGATCTGTTGCCTTAAATATACCGTCCCTTCCCTTATTTATCATAGTTCTGACTCATAGGCACACATTTCAACACCAGTTGGACCTCCAATCCCTTCCCTGGGAGTCAATACTGGGGTAAGTTACAAATAGGTCCTTTGGACACAGTTTGAGGCCGTTAGAACAATAAAGAAAACTTGGTCTGCGGTAGTAAAGGTAAAGGTTCCCTTGCTCGAAAGCCAGTCGAATCCGACTCTAGGGTTGCGGTGCTCATCTCCTTTTCCAAGCTGAAGAGCCAGCGCTGTCCGAAGACATTTCCGTGGTCATGTGGCCGGCATGACTAAACACCAAGGCGCACGGAAAGCTGTTACCTTCCCACCGAAGTGGTACCTATTTATCTACTTGCAATGTTTTGCTTTCGAACTGCTAGGTTGGCAGGAGCTGGGACCAGAGACGGGAGCTCACTCCGTCATGCGGCACACTCTGGTCTCGAACTGCTGAACTACCGACCTTCCACAGCCTGCAGTTCAGCGTCTTAACCACTTGAGCCACCGCAGCTCCTCCTGCGGTCTGCGGTCACACACATGAAACAATCCACTTTCAGTCCACATTCCAACTGGATTTTGCCAGTTCACACAGTAAAAAATCCAGTTGGGAAGTGCACCAAAGTGGATCGGAAGTGGATTATCTAGTGTGTGCGACCGCAGCTTTGATTTGCTAACATACATCTGTGTTTTTCTAAGAGCCCAGGAAACTTGTATCAGACCAGTCGCTTAAGACCCAATCTGCATTTAGCATTTGCTCAGTTGTTTTACCAAACCCACACTGGAACAGGAAAAGATGCAGTTCAAAACCACATTCAACTTCCCCCGGGCCAACACTGTACTGACTGCACGGTCACCTCCGAATGGCCATAAAACGGCCATAAATCTATGCAGACAGCCACCATAAAACCAGAGACCAAACAGAGCGAAAACCGGAATGCAGTCTGGACACTGCCATAAAATGTGACACTCAATCAAAGTGAAAGTGGCATGCAATGTAGACAGGAATTTCTGTTCCAGTGTGGGTTTGGTATAACGGCGGAGCAAATGCTAGATGCAGATTGGGCCTTAGTCTTACAGAAACTAATCAAGATAGATTCAGGTGGGTAGCCATGTTGGTCTGAGGCAGCATAACAAAGTTTGAGACCAGTGGCACCTTTAAGAAATGTTCCCTCTAAGCTGTGGAGTCTTGTGAGCAAAAATTCTATTTTGTGAGCTACCGGCATTAAAGTTGTGAGCGAGGGATTTGGCTGCTGCATAAATTAGTTTGCTCTGGAGCCCTCCTTCCTGAGCTAAGACAAAAATGTGTGAGCCGGAGGCTAAAAAACTGTGAGCTAGCTCACACTAACTCAGCTTAGAGGGAACACTGCTAAGACCAACAAAGTTTAATTGTGGGTATGAAAACACACACACACACACACACAAAAGCTTGTACTTTGAATAAAAACTTTCTTGGTCTTAAAGGTGCCACTGGACTCACACTTTGTTCAGAAACTCATCCAAAGAAACAAAACCAAGATGCTAACTAGGTTGTACAAGTCACTGGATTTACCTGGCTACTCCTTATCTAAGGAATGCACACAAGCCAAACAGAACTTTGAAAGAGAGGGTGGTTGATGTGGACTTCACTCCATTTCTCTCCGTCCCTTGACTTGTGCCTCTTGCACAGAGTGTATTAAACCTTTTAAGTCTTCCTCTCCCAGCTTGGGAAGGTTTCTGCCAGAACTATCCTGAAATTGGGCTCGAGTCCTTATGTGTGCCGGCCTGATCCTTTACCCAATCATAAAAAGGCTCATGTCCAGAGTTCCCTCTAATTCCCCCTCCCCTACTGTGCAGAGCAGTTCACATCATAAGCAGAATATAACTACTGTAATCTTAAAATGGGCAATGAACAGTGCAAGACCCCGCATGGCTCCAGTTTGCTGCTGAGCGGGGCTTCCTGTGTTAATGAGCGGCCGCTCACGCCCACAGCTTAAAGGGAACACTGTAAAACTTTTATGGTCCTCCCTCAGGTTATTCAAACATATTGCCCCTTCCCGGCAGGTGGGCAAATGACCATCTCTATTCTGCCCATATGTCTCCATAAAGGAAAATGATCTTCTCTCAGCCTGAAATCTGAGGGGTTTATGGCTTTGTTCCCGGTAAAGAGGGTGATCTATCTGTGGGCCAGTGTCTCTTGTGTATTAAAGAAGGTATCCTGATTTCGTTATCAAAACACTCTTCTCCCAGGTTGGCTGAGCTTCACATGCAGACACTACTGTGTGAAAAGTCTGCTGGCCCAGCAGCCCAATCTCACCTACCCTGAACTTTCTCTTCCCCTGCTAGTAGTGCTACAAAGAGAGATTCTCTTTGGCTGCAGTCACACTGGTGGCTTGATGTGAAATGGCGGCACCTCAAATTGTGCCGGCTTAAAGTTTAGTGGAGAATTTAATCCAAACCACACACCCTGTGGCAGGGTACCCATGTGCCTGTCTGGTGGGGGAGGATCCACATTTCGCTTCAACCATGGGATGAGCTGTAAGGGTGGGTTTTATTTAAATGCAGGCAGAGAGATGCCCATATGTGCTCATGCGCATATAGGCAGCAACTTTTAAAAAAAAGTGGTAGAAACTTATCTGCAAGTTCAGACATCCTTTCCGGATTCCTTTCGGGGAATTCAGACATCAGAAAAAATGGAGTGGAAAAGCTCCCACCCGTTACTTTCCCAGGTCCCTGCTTACTCCAGTTCTAAAGCGGAGCAGGACGGGTGCCCATGACTGGCCCACGGAAGGCATAAGTCATGTGATCGAGCCCTTTAAATCCGCACAGGTAATGCTGGTAAGTCGTGAAAACCTGCCCATGTGACCTCAGCCTTAATTTCTCTTTACCCAGTAACTGCCTGAATCTAATAATCCATTTCTTCCAATCTTTTTAGGAATTTGGAGCCTATTTAACATCATTTCCATTTTGATCAATGAGGAATGTCAACAGGGGAATTAGAAGGTGAGGCAGAAACCTTGGGTGGGATCCAAAGCACCCCCAAGCAGAGCGATGCCTGCTGAGTGGAACATCCTAGCCCACTCTTCAAATGGTGGCCCACTGAGCCCCTCATGAAATTCTGCTCCTGGGTGGTTCAAAGGTCCTTCCCTTTGCCAATAATGAAAATATATTATGCGGAAATAGTAGTATAGTCTGCCTATATAGCTATAGTGATTTATTATGACTTTTCATGTTTTATATTTTCATATTCAGGGCTATTTTGGGGCAGGAACGCACAGGAACAGAGTTCCGGCTGGCTCCCGAGTTGGCCACTCCCAGCAGGAACTCATTAGCATGATAGGCCACACCCAACAGCAGAAACTCATTAGGATTGGCTACATTAGGGGTGTGTGGCCTAACATGCAAAGGAGTTCCTGCTACAAAAAAAGGCCCTGGGTTTTGACAACAAACAAGGTAAACAGAATAACAAGCAAAAGGTGGGTGTGGCTGGATAACCACACTTCTGGTAACATGGGGGTGCAGCCTAATGTGCTAATGAGCTGTGCTCTCATGGGTGTGGCTGGATATGCTAATGAGTTCCTGCTGTTGGGTGTGGCCTATTATGCTAATGAGTTCCTGCTGGGCTTTTTCTACAAAAAGAGCCCTGTGACATTTTAATGTTTGTCTTTAATGTTTAAAAATGACGATTTTGTTTGTTTTCCTCTCTATTCTTTTCCATAATCCTTTTTAAAAAATTCTGTATCCCTACAAAATATTAAAAATAAAAATTTTAAAAAGATCCTTCCCTTTGCTGTGGGCAAAGTGGAGGTCTGCAGTGGGAGGATGGAACTGGTGAAAATTACCTCCCCTCCTCTTTCATGGAGGTGCTGGTCCACCATGCTGATGGGACAGCACCCTTGCACACAACCCTAGTGCCTGAAAGAAACGTTGCTGGGTTCCTCCCCATGTGTCATGGGTCAGCCATGGCTCAGCAACAGTGAGGACTCCTTAGGAGAAGAGGACTCCTTAGGAGAAGAGGACTCCTTAGGAGAAGAGGAGCCCCATGTAGCCAGATCTGAGTCAGCAGAATCCGGCAAGCAGGAGGATGAGCTGCAGGCTTGTTAGGATTCACAACTGACAGCTGGTGCAGAGCCACCAACAGTCTTCCGCCTTGATTCAACAGGTGAAACTCAGTTGTTTCCAGCCCTCCTGTATCACCCACACCCTTAGAGTGCCACAGACGGAGGCTTATAACAGAGCTACAGGAGAGATGACAAAGTGCACGCCTCCTGGCCTGATGCCAGCTGCTTGCCGAGAGCAAAGATTAGTAGTTGCAGGATTACTCCTAAGCAGCTGGCTGTATGCCTGACTCTTAAGCATATGGCTAAAAAAAAACAGCCAAGGGAGACTGTTAGGGATGGACGCAACCAGTCAAAATCCCTCGGACTGTACGACCATTCCATTGGATCCTGCCTCAACCCTGTGACTCTTCAGACCATTTCCTGACTCTGCCTTCCTCTTGCTCCTGAACCTGCTCATGAGTAATTCTCAGATTCCCAGACTGTGCCATATGTACTGATCCTCAGACTAGGCTCCTTACTCTGTGCACAACCTTGGACTCGAACTTGACTATGCTTCTAGAGTTGGTGCTCTGGCCTTACTAAAAAACCAGCCAAGGGAGACTGTTAGGCGTGGACGCAACCAGTCAAAATCCCTCGAACTGTACGAGGATGCTGCCTCAACCCTGTGACTCTTCATACCATTTCCTGACTCTGCCTTCCTCTTGCTCCTGAACCTGCTCATGAGTAATTCTCAGATTCCCAGACTGTGCTATATGTAATGATCCTCAGACTAGGCTCCTTACTCTGTGCACAACCTTGGACTCGAACTTGACTATGCTTCTAGAGTTGGTGCTCTGGCCTTACTCGTTCTGCACTCTGACAGTGCACCCTATGCTGTTCCTGGCCCGGCTCGTGACATCAACTGTACTAGCAGCTCTTCAGTAAAACAACAACAACAATAACAACAAAACACAGGTAGCCCGTTGAGTATTTTTTTAAAAATCTAGGTTTCAAGAGAATTTAGAGCAGAGCCCTTGCATTCTTTCCTACCATCCCAAAAGCTGGAAGGCCCTTGGCCAACCTCGAACGTCACAGTGTAATTCTCCATTCTGCCTCTGGGTATGCAGCACTTCAGCGCTTGGTTCCCTGGGCACGGGATGATGGCTTCGATGGGGTCTCGGACGATGTCTTCTTTCAGAGGCAAAGGCAACACTTCCATTGCCAGATGAGCGGAGCTGTTCAGAGACTCTTGGAAGAAGGTACAAGTATAGGTGCCTAAAAAAACCAAACCATTGAAACCAAAATTTGTATTTTCATGCACAGTCCTGAAGTGAAGAAACCAGCAAACAACAGGAGTCAGAGGCAGTTCAAAACCATTCCTCGGCCTGCAATTCACCTTCAGTGAAACACCTATGAACATACGGAAATACCTTATAGTGAATCAGACCCTTGGTCCATCAAGGTCAGTGCTGTTGACTCAGACTGGCAGTGACTGTCTAGGGTGTCTCCAGCTAAGGTCTTTCACATCACCTCCTACCTGGTCCTTTTAACTGGGGATGCTGAGGATTGAACCTGGGACCTTCTCCATGCCATGCAGCAGCTCTACGGCTGAGCCACAGCCCCTTCCCGAATAAAACTCATGACTACCTTGTATCCCCAAGTTATAAACTACTGAAGGTATGAAGCCACCTTGAAATGAGTTGGGCCATTTATCTGTCATGGTCAGCACTGTCTTCTCTGACTTTGTGGTAATGTAGCACAAGGTACTACAATCCTAAAAGAAATCAACCCTGACTGTTCCCTGGAAGGCCAGATAATGAAACTGATGCTCAAATACTTTGGCCACCCAATGAGAAGGGAGCATTCACTGGAGAAGACCCTGATGCTGGGAAAGATTGAAGGTCAAAGAAGACGGGGATGGCAAAGGATGAGATGGTTGGACAGTGTCATCGATGCAACGAATATGAAACTGAGCAAACTTCAGAGGACAGCGGAAGACAGGAGGGCCTGGCGGGATCTAGTCCATGGGGTCGCGAAGAGTCGGACTTGACTGTGCGACTGAACAACAACAAAGCACAAGGTAAATGCTGTATATTTGATTTCCTCAATAAAGAATTTAAATACTAAGTTTTTACATCTTTTCTATTTTAAATTACTATTATACAATACAGTCGTAATACATTAATATCAATCTCAAATATATAACAAATTAACTCAGATGATTCAATCATAAACCAGTCACAGAACAAAAACCCATGGATAACAGTCCCAGAGTACCAATGTTTACAGAGATAGTAGACCCAGGAGAAGTCCTCTAGATGTCACTGTACAGTCCTGTGAGCAATAGCTTCAATGCCTATAGTGAAATATGTCCCATTGAGGTTCTCAGGTACAAATGAAAGCTTTCTCCAATACAGAAATCGTTAAAGGGAAACATATCAATTGTAACTCTGAAGAAGGAACAAAACGTCAAGATTACCTAGGATCTGTGTTAGTTCAAGTCTGGCAAGTTTTGTCAAGCTCATTCTTGCCTTTTTTGTGTCTGGGAGCCCCATTGGGTCATATCTAACTACAGGCATTGAAGCTATTGCTCACAGGACTGTATAGTGACATCTGGGCCCTTTCCGCACATGGACCTCACCCCAGGTTTTCTCTCTGTTTGACTCACGGCTATTTATCTTGCAGCTATCTCTGTTTGTTTTCTGCACTGATTTTGTCTCACGCCAATTTGCTTGCCTGCATTGGGAACAGGGGTGTTTGTCCTAGGCATGGTGGGAGGATCGAAACTGAGTTAAAAATTCGACACTTAAATCTGCACCGGGGCCACTCCAGACTGAGGGAAAGCCCGCAGCAAAACAGGATCCATGTGCCCTGGGGCAATGGTGGTCCGAACCTGGGATGGCCACAATATAAATATGAAAAGAGGGGTGAACTCTACTGTAGTGCAGAATAGCTAGTAGGAGACAGCTTAGAACCAGGATTAAAGGTCTAGTGCGGAAAGGGCCCTAGAGGACTTTCCCTGTATCTACTGTCTCTGTAACACTGGTACTCTGGGACTGTTATCCGTGGGTTCTCCTTCTGTGATTGGTTTATGATTGAATTCTCTGAGTTCATTTGTTATATATAAGAGATTAATATTAAGGCATTATGACTGTACTGTATAATAGTAATTTACAGTAATAAAAGATAAAAAACTTTAAATTGTTTATTGAACAAATTGCATACACAGCATTTAGCTAGGGCCAGAGGTCATTTCGGGGGGATTGCGGGGGATCGCAGTTCCCGCGGGTGAGGTACGGGGGGCGGGGCACATGACAAAGCCCTGCCCCCTGCTTCCGGCCGCCCCACTTCCGGCCCTCATTCAGCCAGGAG